CGCAGCTCAACGGGCGGAGCAGCAGCTGCCGGCCCACTTGCACGCATCTCACCGGGCAGGACAGCAGCCGACGGCCTACTTGCACGCATCTCACCGGGCAGTCCAATCGAGGGAGGAGCAGTCAACGTCGCATTCAGAGTCCGACTGGTCAGCTGAAATCATGGCCGAAACCCGTGAGAAAATCTGTGACTTCTTGTACCAGTCTCCGGCATCCACACCAGCTGCCATCCGGAAGAATATAGGCGTCTCCAGGGTCAACGAGGTCAACCAGCTGCTCAACACCCTGGAAAAGGAGGGCGAAGTCTGCCGCCAGGGCACTCCTGCCAAATGGTCACTCACAGAAAAGAAGAGGGAGAGGATGTTTATTAAAAAGCGGGCGGCCGAAATCCACGAGGAAGAGGAGATGGAAGTCAAACCGGAGGCGGCGGAGCTTAATGTTGAAAACGGGCAGCAGGGGACAGGACCGGACACCGCCAGCGTCACGCCCGCGGACGAAAACGTGGTGGCGGAAACCAACGTGGTGGCGGAAACCAACGTGGTGGCGGAAACCAACGTGGTGGCGGAAACCAACGTGGAGGCGGAAACCAACGTGGAGGAGCCGCCTGCGAAGCGGCTGAAGGAGAGCAGCTTTGACGACTACGAGAACGGAAAGTGGACCATGGACGAGGTGGGAGACATGAACACAATAAACCAAAACTACCTGGACTCCAACAATGCCGTCAGTATGCCAGTGCCACAGTACCGCGAGCCCGTCAAGGAAGTCACGCGGTTGGAGAAGCTGCAATCGTGCCAGGAGAAAAATCCCGTGAGCGGGCTGCTGGAGTTCGCCCACTTCTTCTCCCAACAGTGCGAATTTGTGCTTATGGAACAGAGCGGACCGTCTCATGACCCCAGGTACGGCTGTGTGTATGACTTTGCAAAGTGCACATAAAAAAAATGGCCGCCAACAGCTTGTTAATTTATAATGAACAGAAAGAAGCGGTTAATTTTAAGCCTTAAGTTTGAGAAGGGGTAACAGGAAGCTGACTTACTGCTTGCCCTTGTTTCACACTTGCATTAATGGGGGGACGGGTGGCTGGAGATGGGCTTTAATGCAGACGCCATCAGCTCCCCCAAAGCTCCATTCAGCCAATGGGAACAACAATATAAAGCAAGATGTAGGTTTTATACTGGGCTAAGGACGCTCCCCCACCGCCACAAGCAACAGTGCTGGGAAGTCCGGGAAGTCGGTGGAGCGGATCACTTGCTACCAGTAACATTTTGATTCCAGCCTCCAAAGGGTTAGAAAATAAAGCTGCTGGTTGAGCCATCATTGAAGTGTACCTGTTGCTTTGCCCCACTGCACAGTCATCCTTGTCCCACAGGTACTATTTAGATGCAACGCAATTCAATTCGGGTCAGGGGACATTGAAGTAGAGTTTCCAACGCATTCGGGGGTCCAAAACACACCCCTTTTATCAGGGCTTAAAGGAGAACTATGGGGTAAGTGTTTTTCCCCATAGTTCTCCTAAGGGTAACGGGAGGACACAAACTAGCGTCCTCCCGTTACCCTAAGCTCAGTATACCGCGAGCTACAGCTCACGGTATACTGAGACAGCCGCAGCCGGGATGGATCCCGACATTACTGTCGAGATCCACCCAGATGCGTGCGTGACAGCTGGCTCTGCCTATCTAGAGGCAGAGCCAGCTGTACCCTCCCCCAGTTAGCGCCCGAGGGGGGAATCCCTGAAGGGAGCCGTGAGAGACAATCACGGCTCTCTGCGGGGGACAGGATCGAGAAGTGAGCGAGCGACGGTATGTCTTCGCTCACTTCACGATCTATTGAGCCGACCTGTGACAGTTTCATTGTCACACGTCGGCTTGAACTATGATCATGAGTGATTTTCACTCGCCTCATAGTTCTCCTTTTAAGGAGAGAAATCCTGTATGTGGACTACAATCCCTGCCAAACCAGCTGCTGACGAGCCTGAACTACTCCCAGCACAACGCAATGCAACTTTTAAGCTGCTGGGATTGTAGTCCGCATACATGTTTGAACCTGATGAGGTGTTTTGGACCCCTGAAACACCTTGACTACTCTACTATTCCTTAACCCTAATGGAATAAAGTTCCTACATCTCCTGTGCTCACTCTTGAGCCAAGGGTGCCGTGGAGATCCCACCAAGAGAATAACCACACGGCACCAGCACTTTCTTTTCCCACTGCTATATAGAGAGACACTGAACCAATACAAACACCTCTGGCAACCCGAGACCTGATATGCACATACTTGTTTCAGGGTAGACATGTAGGGATGGCAAAATCCAAATCCCATCCGCAGTCCTACGGTCTTATAGTTGAAAGGGCATCTGTGGTGTTGAGGGTGACCGCACGGATGGCGCCGTGCAAACACCTCACCAGCACACACTCAGGGAATCGGGTATCAAAATCCTAAATATTTAATAAAGCGCATAGTGTCCCATCGCGTCATAAAGTGCTGACGTTTCGGGTCCACGCAGGGATCCTTCAGAGTTATACAGTGACCTGAGTGTGTGCCGGTGCGATGTTTGGACTTATCACTGATGTAGGGATGACAGAAATGGAGTATGGCCCTGCTCGCAGAGAGCTTTCTTTTAGGGATGCACCTATATTAGTATCGGTGCCGATGGCGAGTATTTAGGCGAGTACTCCTACTCTCCCAAATGCTTCGATGCCTAGCCCGATACCTGAGCTTCTGGTATCAGGAAGCTATGGGCGAGTCATTACAAGCTGCCCGGCTTCCTGATTGGCCGGGAAGCCGGCTACATGCTCCCTCATCATTTGGTGACGGCTTCCTGGCCAATCAGAAAGCCGGGCGGTGTGTAATTACTCGCCGCCTAGCCTCCTGATTGGTCGGGAAGCTGGCCAATCAGGGCGCTGGATGGCGAGTCATTACCCGTCCCCAGGCTTTCTGATTGGCCAGAAAGCCAGCTTCATTCTCCATCGTCACCTGGTGACGAGGGAGAACGATGTCGGCTTCCCGGCCAATCAGGAAGCCAAAGTCCATATACCCATTGCACTCGGAACCGCTGAAGAAATGGGTGCAGCGGCTGGCTGCCACCAAAATATAAAGGTAGACGCCGGCACTCCAAGGCAAGTCAAGTACGCCTATTTATTCTTTTACATGTTGCAAAGCAAAAACACTAGGCAATCGGGAAGTCAGGTGCCGTATAATGACTCATTGGCCAGTTTCTCAACCAATCAAGAAGCCGGGCAACGAGTCATTACACGGCGCCCGGCTTCCTGATTGGCCAGAAAGCCGGTTTCATGCTTTCTCGCCACCTGGTGACGAGGGAGCATGGAGGCGGCTTCCCATCGAATCAGGAAGCCAGATGGTGAATCATTACACGCCGCCCAGCTTCCTTAATGAGACTTTTGGTATCGGCAAGTACCGATAAACCAGTATGGGTGCATCCCTAGTTTCCCCCGTATGTTGTGTCGGCCTTATTTTACAATTATGTTAGCTTGGGGGGTTTGGTGCTAATGCAAACTAGAGCTGGCCATACACACTACAACGTCATTGTAGGGATCACATGACCCAGTGCCTGTTCCTTCACCCATGTGGTCAGCATTGGATCAGCATTTTCTCCAGGAAGGTTAAATCATTTGGGTCCCCTGTGACTGTTAATGGCCGCTTTTAGGGACTTGTTCAGATTTGTAGATTGATTGACAGACATGAAGTGCGTTGCCGTCTGATTCTCATGTGCGTTTATTTGTTCTCGAATCAGGTTTAAGATCCAGACCGTGATCAACGGCCGGCGGTTTCCTGAAGCCGAGGCCAACAGCAAGAAAGCCGCCAAGAAAGAAGCCGCCTCCCTCGCAATGCGCATTCTCCTTCGAGAGGAGCAAGGTGGATCAGAAGCGGAGGTCCTCGCCGAGCGCGGGACCGTCCCAGAGGCCCAAGAGGAAGTGGTGAGTGTTCAGTTTCACTTCTTCCCTGTGTGTACAGACCTCCGCCTTCCAGTTTCCATCATTATAAATTCAAACCAATTTCTAACGCCAAACTGTTGTTTTTTGTACCATTTTTACCATCCCCCATCATTAACCCCTTAAGGACCCTTTCGCTGCCAAGGCCTTTTTTTTTTTTTGCACACTTGTTATAATCCACATTTTAGGCCTGAAAATTACCTCAAACCCCCCAAACATGATATATTTTCTGAAAGCCAAGACCGTGTAAAATACAACGACAGCAGATGCAAATTTTTCTGTTGCACAATATTAGCGCAACTCTTTATCAAACCCAAACATTTTGTGAAAAAAATGCACTTGTTAAATGCAGTGCCCCAAAACACAACATAATGCCCATTTTGTTTTAGTAAAATAAACGATGAGGTTACGACAAGTAAATAGATACCCGACATGCCCAGATTAGAGATTGTGCGCGTCCGTGAAATGGTAACAAAATCCTGATAAAGGTAAAAGGAGGAACCGGGGAGGGCGAAATATAAGTGGATTAAACGCCGGCTTTTACGTTGTTTGTTTTTTCTCTCTAGCAAAAGAACATTCCGCAGCCGTCTTTGATTGGAGGGAAGAACCCCATCAGCATTCTTATGGAGCACAGCCAAAAGTCAGGCAACATGTGTGAATTCCAGCTCATGAGCCAAGAGGGACCTCCCCACGACCCCAAGTAAGTGCCTCATTCTACTTTCCACGCTGGTCGGTGGCAAACGTCATTCATGCCAGCTTGTGTCTAGTACAAGTGTATGTCGGAGGAAAATAAAAATAAATCACCGCCTCTGCAGAAGCAGAGTTGCAGCCGACAACTCTGCTTCTGTTTCAATTGGGGGATGCACCGATACCGTGTTTTTGGTTACGAGTACCGATATTTATCTCTCGGTATTTGCCGATACCAGTACCTCTAGCATGGAGACAGCTTCTGGGCCAATCAGGAAGCCGGGCGACGTGTCATTATCCGCATCCCGGCTTCCTGATTGGACTCCATGCTGTTTGGCCAGCTCGATACTGATTGGCTGGGAAGCCGTCTTACCGACCAAACACCATGGAGCCGGCTTTCCGATCAATCGGGAAGCTGGGTGGCGCAAAAGTCATTGCCCGCTGCCTGGCTTTCTGATTGGCTGGGAAGCCGGCTCAATGTTCCCTCGCGGCACTGCCGCTGAGAGAAAGTCTCCCTCTGACCGTAAGTTCTGGTATGTAGTGTAAGTATCGGAGCATTTAGGTGAGTACTCGTACTCGCCCAAATACTCTATCAGTGCATCCCTAGTTTCAATGAGATTCCAAGGGTTTAGTCCAGCCCTGCCTGAGTTCTTCTGAACTACAGAACACCCTTGTTAATGGGGTTGCAGAGTAAGGTAGGGGTCCTGTAGTCCAGCAAGGGAGAACTGGATAGAGCCGACAACAATGCTCTGGATTTCTGTGCATCAGAGGCAGCATTGTCGGCTCAAACAGGAAATACGGAGCCGCCTGGATTTCTGGCTGATCAACAGGTACTTTTCCCAAATTTTGCTCCCTGAGAGATGGCTGCAGCCACCTGCAGGGAATGCAAATCTAGATAGTTTTAAAGGGCCCAGCAGACTTTTTTCCTGTGTACCTGCGCAAACACACACACCAGTACAGCTCACCCCCCTTCCCCAGGGGAAAACTGTTAGTGTGCCCCACTCCCCTTGGTGTCCTAGTGCCAGCTAGGCAGGTGAGTAGGGTCTATGGGGAGGGTGTCTGGCTGGGGTCACAAATGCCATACCCTCCCTTCCCTCTAGTAATTGGGTATGTCCGGCCATCCAAGTAAAGGACAGCCAGGTTTTTCCTCCTGATGTTGCGTGGGGCCTGAAGGTGCACCAGGACCCATGAAGGCCCCCATTGGGCTAATGCATCTTTGGGAATGAGTTGTCTGGACTAGGCCATCTTTGGTGTCATGCAGACCCTCCACCGCTCAAGGGAATGCTTGGCGTTCCTTCATCTGACCTACCTGGCTGCGGCAGTGGTCAGATTCCTCCAAACGCGGGTTGTAGGGAGGTGCTCCCACTCCCCTCGTGTGGCCGCATTTTTAAAGGGATAAAACATGGGGAAATGTGCACCGAATATCAAACTTTGCCCAGACCTCCACCACCACCTACAACCAAAACCTTTGCTAGACAGCCCTCCATTATGTAGTTGGACAGACTTCTCCCACGTCTACTATAGACCACAGGATTTCTTTTATCGTTTCATTAGTATTGTAAAACTTATATAAACAAGATCAGTAATGAATACATCACCTCTATTTCCTGATCCAGGTTCACGTACTGCGTTAAAATTGGTGACCAATCCTTTCCACCGGTGATCGCCAACAGTAAGAAAATGGCTAAGCAGCTCGCTGCCGAGGCCGCGGTAAAGAAGCTCCTTGGCGAGAACGCCCTGCAAACTGACAAGGTAAGACGAAGATCTGTTGTCGCTTTTTTACGTCCGGCCCTGTTGGTAGTCTATTTGGTTGTGGGCGTACATGTTACGGCATGCATATATATATATATAATCTCTATCACCTATTCTTTTTCTGGTGAAGGTCGATCCTTCTGCAGCTGAGGTGCCCAGTATGGAATTCCCCACAGTGCCAGAGCTTTCCGTGGACGATATCAAGATGGCTCAGACTTCTGGGGTCGGCGAGTTCATCAAGTATCTGAACGCCAACCCCGTCAGCGGCCTTTTGGAGTATTCCCGTGCCAAGGGTTTCGCTGCCGAATTTAAAATGATCAGCCAGACGGGTCCCCCGCACGATCCCAAGTAAGTCGGTCACTAATCAGGTTTGCTCACTGGAGGACATGGAGCGTGGTTTAGATATTATTATTATTATTATTATTATTATTATTATTATTA